GTCACTTTGGTGTTTTTTATACATTTCTTAAGAAGGCTAACACTTGTCACTTTGGTTTTTTTTATAAATTTTTTAAGACGGCTAACATTTGTCACTTTGGTTTTTTTATACTTTTTTTAAGACGGCTAACACTTGTCACTTTGGTTTTTATACATTTTTTAAGACGGCTAACACTTGTCACTTTGGTTTTTTTATACATTTTTTAAAGGCTTTCTTATTAAAAAGTAATCTGCTATAATAATTTTTGGAAAGATGTTGACAGGTGAACAGCTAAAGCTTCAGCAAAAATTTCACCAGAGGTATTTCAACCTGTTAGACAACCCAGGGTTTCTGTCAAAAACAATTCCACAATATCAACAGGGATACAGCCACTAGTATATTTTCTCGACCATCTAGACAGAAACAGTTCCCTAAGTGACAATAAGTCATCCCACTTTTGTACCATAAGTTTACTACTCGGTTATCATTAGTTCATGAAACCATGTTAGCTGTAAAACTTTCAGTTGAAGAAATAAAACACTGAACATTTTGTTAAGTGAGCTGGACTTTGCATTATTTTTACTTAATAATCAAAAAGAATCTGCCCAATATCAAAAACTGATAAAACAATAATATACCTTATTTCCAATTCCTTAATGAACAGTTACATAACAAATTGCAAGAAATAATGATTTATTTCTAACTCTCTACAAAAGCATTCATTTTGTCATTTTATTAACCATAATCGATTAATTTTGAATTTGATGATGAGGAACCCCCTCTTTTAAATTTTAGAAAATAAAAGTTTGGAGACACCTTGAATTGGTAATGAAGAAAACTTTATTATAAATGTACGTTTTAACAAGATTATGTCATCATCATCATTGATAAACTAACTGAAATATTGCAATTTATAATCATTGGTCCATTACAAGAAAAAAGTAAAAAAGGTGTTTTATGTCCCTATATAACCATCAGCTTATTTATGTAATGAACTCGATCGAATGAAAGTATTATCCAATTAATTATGACTGAAAATAAATGTGAAACTAACACCAGTAACACTAACAGCAGTTTTATCGAAAATTAAAAAAAATTTCTTTGTTTTAGAGTGACATAACTATAATTTGACATTTGAGTACGTAATTCAAAACTGACAACATGTATAGTTAAATGAATGGTAACATATCATTAATTTCATTCATGCAACCATAAATTTATTTCGAAATCAAATAACAATTCAATATTATTAAGCTAAACTGAAATGTCAACTTCAGCTTGTCATGCGCCTAACGATGAGATCATTTCTATCGTTTCTCATAGGTTCTTATTTGGACACGTCACAAACGCGCGCCACCCCAACATGGCGTGTGTACAATATCGTGGATAACATTGTTTACAAGTCAAAGTCATAACCATGTGTTGATCTTCAGCACTATCAAATGGCAGGGGTATTAATTGTCAAGGTTAACAAAATACACTGGTTGTTTTAGAAATTACAATGCATTTGATGATTTGAATAAATGGGATTATTAATAATAAATCAATATATCTTATTTTTCAACTTCAACTTTCAAGAGAGTCGTAAGACATGAGTACGGAACTCAAATTTTAAAATCAAAACGAGTTTAATATAGTTAACTCACTCGTCTCCGTCGGGGCATAGGCCTGTCGTTTCATCAAATTTGGTACAGTATATATCAGGACTATAGTTAAACGTGCCATCTCGTTTTCTTACAGGTCTACGACGACGTTGGTTCATAAAATGCCAATAGAAACACGTGAATGGTTTGTGCTGAGTACATTTATGTTGGACAAACAGCGGGCACTGCTCAACACGAAATTCTTTCAAATATCTGTAAAAACAACAAAATGTTGTAAGCCTTTTGCCACAATAACGTAACTAAATTATTAAGGCACATAATGAAATTATACTTAAGATGAATCACTGACTTACGTGTAATGTAATGGCTTCTCCGTTTGCGTTGGTAGCGAAATAATTTTAGTGTCAGCCGTAGACGGCATATTGGATCTTGATTTTTAGTGCGCAATTCTACTGCGCAAGGTACGCTCTCGTGACGGAGATATCTGATTGGATACTACGGCCCATGTGATTTATCAGTCATTTCAGCGCGTGAGATGTAATACGTAACATTACCACACGTTCAAATATATGTTATATCATAAACAGTCTTTCACTAATTCATGTTCTAAAATTCAAGTTAAAATTAACATTTTGAGCACTAACAACTATAAAAATATAAAGGGATTGAAAAAAGATAGAATATTTTCATGTGAAAATAACATTTAAGTATAACATTTTTTAGTTTAAATAGTAAAAGAATTTCCTTCCTCCACGTGTATTTACCAGAACTAAAACAAACTACAAATATGGTTTCTATATCTTTTTTCATTGTCAAATATACAGTGTATCTAATGTCTCATGATTTTATACAGTGTGGAAGAAGTAACATTATCAAGCAATTACTTTAAACTGTTGACAATTAATAAGCATTAATTAAGATATATTCGATGTATTTAGTTCTTTGGAAAATGACACAGAATTTTTTGTTCGTTTCGTACTTTTTTTTTATTAGATTACAATACATGTAAAACTTAAAAAATGCTGTGGAAAACACTTTTGTACCTAATTTATTGCCCCTTTCCCGGTGTCTTAGCGATAAGCTCGAGTGGTTCGATCAGCTGTGGCGTTCACAGCCCAAACAGTCCGTTGTGCAGTTTTTCGTTAAACACATATTTTCTTGCAAGCTATATTTATAATGATGTAATATATTTGATAGTTAAAGGCTGTTTGTTTTTTATAATGTGAAGTTAAGTTTACATTAGTTCCAGAAGGAGGAAATAAACTAATTTTGTCTCATTAAGTGGACTGGAAGTTGAATTATTTTCACCTGTTAATTTAAAAGAACCCGTGAAGAAAGAACTACGTTACAACAACATAACTCAAAGTACATCATTGTAAATACCATTCATAAGTACCACAGGAATCAATACTCCTATTTTAATAGAAGCTATTTTACAAATATTAATGTTGCTATACCATAAATTCTAGAAGTCATTTTTAAAAAGATGTATTGTTTGTAGCCTAAAGAAAAGCAAGCTACAGAGTACAGTACTTTCATTAAAAAATTTCATTGTGAGTGAATATACAGACCAATAGTTTCCAACCTTTATGACTGAAATATGCTTAAACTAACTAGCACATCTATGTACCACATCTCTGTGGTATTATCAGTGGCTTAACAAACTGATATTATTTTTAGCATTGTCAAACTTCTGTACATTCACATTCATGTCTCTTTCTTTACATATGTTGGCATGCAGACAAAATTCAACTGAAAAAAATTAATTAAAAAAATCAAGCTAACAAGAAAACCACTTGTAGGGGCTGGCAGTGGTGCTAACTTAGCTATTTTACTTTGCCATATACCACAAGTTGGGAACCATTAATATGAACTATAACTAGCCATTGGAGCTATTTAAAACTCCTATGCATATCTTATGAAGTTGTTTGTATAAAAATAAGAAAAGCTTTACTGTTTATCAGATATTATAATATGTATACATTAAAGTTTTGTAATATTTGATATACTCATGTATCAGCTGTGTAACTGTGAATATTAGGTTTAAATTTAAATGGAAGAGGTAAGCCCAAATTTATGGGGTTCTCTCTCTTCCTTCTAGCACACACTAATTATTCTGATCATGTAAATGTACATATTACATTTTATGTATAAAAAATGCAGGGGTCATAATTATATCAGTAAACTAGTAAATTGCTCAATACTGTTTATAGTACTAGAAACAATTTCTAACACACAATTTAGAAGAACTACTTTCAGATTCTTACTGCTGAGTACCACTACACCCATGATATATGCATTTCAATAATTTATACTGCATGATTCTGAATACATAATTGTGATTAATGAGATTGTTTCACTTGTCAGTGCCATGGCAGTTTTACAATCCCTATTTGAGCTGCATGGAATATCTAAGCTAAGTTTCAGGAAATTGGGATAGCAAGACTGCAACTTCAACTCATTTGATTAGTTGCCAAGGCAATTAGCATAGGGGTGAGCAAGCTAGACTGGACACTATCTGGCCTAGGCAGTGCAGTTTTTATGGCAGGTGGTTCAGATACTGTTCCCATGTGAGTTTTCCTTGGAGGTAATAACAAAAAAGAAATCTCATAAGCTGCACACATTGTTTTCCAGAATATTCTTAATTTGCCTATTGTTAACACATATTAGCTAGGTCTATTGGCTTCTGAAGCTTTGCCAACATTTGGCATTTAAACTAATTTTTAATAAAATACTTTTTTAGTGTCGACTGGCTGTCAGCAGTAGCTCTTGGTGCTGTAGAATTTGTTAATTAAGATACTCGTGGCCTAGATAACCAGTTTCCAGCCAAGTTGAGCATCTTTTAACTTTTGTGAAACAGCTAACATAAAAGCACTGTTAAATGTAATTAAAATGAATTTGATATTCAATAATATTAGAAAACATGACAAAAGATTTATCAGATAACCAAAAATAATGAAATACAATCCTTTTGTTAAAAAAGTTCACAACTTAAAATTACCAGGGAATGTGATATGTGTTGGTAGTGAAAAATGAATATTAACACACATGAATGTAATCAGTCTTTTTCTATGTTAGGGTGCTTAAAATAAATGCAATAATATGAAAAGTTTTTGCAAGTTAGAATTTATGGAGACCACAGAAATACTGCAGTATCCATCCCTACTCAATCCTGTTGCTTGAACTAGAATGTGTCACATATAAATAGGATATATACATATTTATTAACATTTAATACATGATATAATCAGTTATGACACAGTTACAGCAGAAGTTCCAAACTGCTAGTGGGAAAAAAAAATACTTTCAACCATTCACTAGTGCCTTCGAAGTTAAGACTGAGGCCTGCAAAATAGGCTTTTTTTTTCATAATCTGGCATGATCCTATTGGTGTGAGTTACAATTAATCTATTTTATGTACAAGTCATCAATACAGCCTTAAAAGAAAATCATATTCTAAAATGCTGTATTTTTTCCAAAGAATACTGTTTGTATATTCTAGTTACCTTTGTAATTTATGAGTCCCCATTAAGAGTTGTATTCATATTGCAAATTATTAATGACTACTAAATCAACAATGTTGAAGGCTGTTTTTAATATTTTATTAGCATGACATAATGAGGATTTGTGAAGCCTAGAAATTTTCCTATTGTCTAAATTTGATGTGATATTTCAAATTTTTCATGAAATTTTGGGAAAAAACAAATAATATACAAAACACCAGAGTTAATCAGTCAGTTATTTAATCTGTGAGTAAATTAGTAAGCCAGATCAGTGATGTATATTTTTCCGAGTTTGTAATCTAGATACAAGAGAAAAGTTAGCAAGTGACTGTAAAGTTTCATTCATGAGTTAGACCTATCACAGAACAGATTATATAAAGTTATAGAAGAGATAACTTGTTACAAACAAGTGGACTGGACTTTACATTATTTTTATCAAATAATCAAAAAGAGCCCACTCAAGGAAAAAAAATTATAGCACTGGTGTCAGAAATGGGATTGTTTTAGTGAAAATAAAAGGGAATCTAGACTAAACTTCAATTAGACAATACTTGCTTGAAGTGAGATCAAATATCTCATGGTGATAATGAAACAGTGGAAAGAACAACAAGGATATAGAGACAGAGCAGTTAAAAGAAGATCAAGAAGAAATTTACAGAAAATTAAAGGAAGACCAAGAAGAAAGACACAGAAAATTAAAAGAACTAAGAACAAAAATAAATTTCATTGAAATGAAGATTGATGCAACTTTTGAATATGTGTAAAATTGAAGTTGTATAAAAAACATCTATAGAGCATAAAGATTATAACAACAAAATTGAAGTTGTTCAAAAAGATTATAACAGCAAATTCAATGATGTGCAAAGAAACATCAATAGCAGAAAACATCTGGAATATGAATCTGTAAATGCAAGAACCAAACTAGAAGGACCTCTCTCTGCATCTGCCCGAGCATTTAAACCTCAACCACCATTAACTGTGAAATATGGAACGTGAGAACTCATTATGCCTACACCTGTTGCTACTACTGTTGTACCACCTACGACTTCAGAACCATTTTGGTTAACTCCAGCTACATCACTATGTCAGCAAGCTCCAGAATTTAGCTGGCCAGTTCAACAAAATTGCCTACTTAAGAAACCAACAGATTATGAGAGAAAGATACTGTGGGATGCATATCAGGCTCAGTATCAAATAATTGCTAAAATGAATGGATGGGGTGGTAAACAACAAGCCTTTCATCTCACTGCCCACTTAAAAGGACCGGCTCTAACAACATTAAGCAATCTCCCAGGCAAGAGCCGTAACAACTGTCTAGCACTGGAGACTGCCCTGTAAAACAGGTTTGGAATGACACACCAAAAGGAAGTTTCCAAAACAAAGCTCAGGAGTAGAATATGGAGGATAGATGAGACTTTAATTAAACTTGCACAAAATGTGAAATGACTTACCTAGATGCTCTACATGAAATGACAGATTCTTTGGTATATGACCAACTCATAAATGCTATATTGGATAAGGATATGCAAATTAAGATAATGCAAAGTAGATGTACATCTTTAAAGGAAGATCTCTACTTGGTGATGCAACTTGAATCAATTAAAGTTTAAAGTAAAAACTAAATTCATCATCCAGGAATTACGAATTTTCAGATCAAATAGTATAGAAACAGTTCAAACAAAATCGTTAGTCAATGGGTTAACTTATGGGAAGTCTTGCAGTATGTTGGTTGATACTAGTTTAACAGCTATCATTACTTGACGTGACAAAAAGTAGAAAATTACCTTCAGAGATGAACAAAAAAAGATGTACTAATACACAAGCAAATGACAAAGTTCTACTTACTATGGGAAGCTTCTCTAAATAACATGATGTATGGGTAACTGGCATCAAGTAAGACTAAGAGTGCATATTGGGAACTGAC